AACTTAAATAAGTCTAAACCTGCAAGCAGGTCGAATTCCACTCGCGCCTCTCTTCCTTCTTGCATTCCCACGCGCACACCCTGTAGAACAAGCTCACGCCGCAAGTAAACGCCAATCACCTTTCTCTCCCGTCTCTATTTTAGTTCTCCCTTTTCCTCACTTCCCCGCTCACTATTGCGGATTCTCTTCGAGCTCCCTAGTGCGCGGTTATCTCTTGCTTTTCTCCGGTTTTTGATCTCCTAGCCTGCTTCTCGTTTTCGGTTTCGCCTTGTGATTTGGATTGTTGCTTCCTCGTTGTCTCTCCGTGTTCCGACCTACTCACCTGCCTCCTGGTTTTCGTTTTTGCCTAGTGTATCTGCTTGGTGTCTTTCTCTTGTCTTGAGTCCTGCATAGGATCCTATTGCCCTAGCAGCCCTACTCTTACAACAAGTCCTCAGTTAGCACTGGAGATGCAGAGCTCAGATGGAAAGTAAACCAGCAGAGAGTATTTGTGCAGGTCCACCGATCTAGAATATAATCCCTGAGATGCAGGAGCCATCCGAACCAGGTGACTCAACACCTGCCCTTGCTCCTGGTCACAGGACCATTGCTGTTGCCACACTCACAGGTGGATCACTAGTGGAACATTAATTCATCCCTGCTTTCCTCAGAGAGGAGCTCTGGGGACTGGCTGTGAGCTCCTGTCTCCTGCACGTCACTGACACACAGACGTCCGGTAGATCTGCTCTGGAACAAGCAGGTACAGCCCTGGGCTCCTGAGAGCCAGCAGGCTGGCCGTGTGCAAGAGTCACTCAAGACTGGGGAGACTGGGGCTGCTGTCAGGCTGCTGTCTTTCCCTTGAAAGCTCAATATGAACTTGTACACAAACTTGACCTCTGATGGCGTTAATCAGTGAGGAGAGGACACAGTTGAGACAGAAAGAGGTTTATTTTAAGGTTTCAGACAAACAGAAAAAGACTCAAAGGCCGTCAGTGATAAAACCATTGCCCTCCATATCACCAACACAGTAGGTTTACTTGTGGTTTATCTCAGTGCTCGATAACAAGTCAGCAAGCAAGTATAATATGTTAAACAGAAATAAAACAGATAAACCTCTGTGTGCAGCTGATTCTTGGGTTAGTAACGCACTGACAACATCTTTAATGCCAAGCTCTTAACAAGTAGGTCAGATAAACTGGTAATTACAAAATATAAAAATGACTAAATTGCAAGAAAAAAGCAAACATTTTGTATTTTACAATTTAAAGGAGAACTGCAATGTTGTTATAGTGAATCGGCAGTGATGAGTGCATTTCAAACCACAATAAAATTACTATGTGTGTTCATGTGTACAACCTCTAGTTTGTATCACAAAAGAGATGAAGTTTCAGTGTGTGTGTAGTTCCATTGTGTGCGATTTAGAACAAAGCAACAGAACTTCTGGTGATGCGAAAGTAGGCCTATTAAATTGTAAACATGGTTTAGACTAAACAACTTTTGCTGCTATATTACTCTTAAATATTTTCATGAAACCGACACGTCCAAGCCAATGTGTTTTTAGATACTTTATCTAAGTATTTTAAAAAAGAGCTTGCCACCCAACTAAAACACACTCCTGTTCATTTTCAAGTTTTGCGGAAGTGCTTTATCCTTTACACTGGTGGTTATTCTATGGCAAATCTTTAGCTAAAAGAAATAATCTAGCAGGATGTATATTCTTGGAGGAGTGGCTGTGCCGTAGTCGATTTAAATGAACAGCTGATTTGAATGAGTTCAGCTGTAACCAATTCAACATATCAACTTCGAGACTACTGTAGTTTTACTGGCAAATACTACTTGTTTACTCAGCATTCAGATCACGTTCGAACATTTCCTGGGTGAAATGTCTCCTGCACACCCTGTACTTATTCGCCCGTCCATCACGCTGAATCAAGTTGAGAAACTTGTCGATGGGACCAACGTCAGTGCTCATGTTTATTACCCATCTCCTGACTAGCTGAGTGTCACCTGGAAAAGGAAACAGGCTGACTTTCTGCTGATCTGGTCCTCTGTTTTGTGTGTCATGTTCTGAACAGCCAACTGCTTGACAGTGAGATATTGTTTAAAATATATACATGAGTTTAAAAACACAAAAAAGAATTAACATACAGTAGTTAGGAGACCATGTTTCTCTACAGTGACTAGTGAGCAGGAAGGGCTGCTTTCACGTCACAATTCACACAAACTCTCGCTCTCGCCTGTGGTCTGACCAGCAGTTTCTCGTCTGTCTGCAACAACTTGGCAACTATACAGTTCTTGCACAGAGCTCAGGATTTTACACTCAGTTTGAATTTTGTAACCTTTGTGGTCGAGATTTAATACTCCTTCTGAGAAATTAGTACTGCAGTTCCCCTTTGATAAATAATAATAGGGAATCTGTGTCTCTGTCTCCTCTCACTGCACACTGCACTTCTCTGCT